AGGGAAAGATTGGGACGCTCCTATGTAGTTAGAAGAAGAAAATAAATCTTTTGGATTTAAAGTTTCTCTATAAAATTTCTCTCTAAAATTCTTAAGAAATAAACTCATAAAATTCAAGTTCTCAAAAAACCTTATATACCTTCCCTAAACATGGTCAACTTTGACCACAATATAAAACAAATTTAAATAACTAACTCTTTAAGAATTTCTTAATTCTTAGATTTTTAAAGCACCAATACATCACTTCAACACAAATCATTTAAATATTGAAATTTAAAATAAAATACATAACTCGCAACATTTTGTTACACTTTTATGCCAAATTTCACTTTGTATTTTAATCAAAATTATCATTCTTAATAGTTCTAAATAGTATGAATTATAAATATTTCGAAGTGTTATGCAAGTCTTTTGGAAGACGATGTCTAAATTATAATATGTTACTTGTACAACTCATATCATTTTACAACTCATTGTTGTACAACTCAATTCACTTATCAAAGAGATATAACAACCATAAACCCGCCATAAGTTCCTAGAGCAGTACAACTACTGAACTTAGAGTTTCCCTATATTGCTAGTGACTTGTAATTTTAGTCTTAAAATTATAGTGGGTTTCAGTTGGTATATGGGTTGGTGCCCACCCCTATTGATCATGTTTTGTTTTTCTTGTCTTACCACAAGTATCTTTTAACTCAATGTAGGAAAGACTATTCTAGTTTAGACTAATTGTTACTTATAATATATTAGTATAAAATATTTAACTACTATGATAACCCATCGAGTTAATGACTTGGATTGTTTTAAAACAAAAACAAAAATTAGAAATGCCATATACTCAACTTTTTTATTGCTAAAGAATGTTAATAACATTGCCTTTAAAAAAATATTAATAACATGCTATTTTATTTTTTTCAAAATACAATTTTATTCTTATCTAAAATTTATTAAACTTTTCACAAAATAATACAAACCTCACTTTATATTAAATAAAATTATATTCAAAACTTTATAATTCTTAATTAATTTCAATCCACCATAAAATTGTATTTTAAAAAATATGTTAAAATGTATTGTGAAGTTCCCTATCATTCCTAGATATTGATAACAATGTTTGATCTACTCACAAGTAGACTTCAGTGACAATAATTATATTTGGAACATATTTATTGACGATGCTCAATTCTAATTGTTAATTCAGCGGTTTCAAGAATGAAGCCATCTCTATTAATACCGATATCACTTTTTTTATATGAAAAGGAAAAACGGATGTTGGATGACACAACACAACACTTTTTTCTCTTTCCACTTTACTTTCCATCTTTCATTTTCATTATTCATTTTCCGCATTTAATTATTATAATTGTTATTTTATTGGCTTTCTCTTCTCCTACGTTAGCAGTACATTTTATTTTATTGGACAAGTGACTTCTCGGCCACCTCCATTTATTTGTTTCCCCACTGAATTTAAGTAAAGTTTAATGTAGAAATAATAAATTTTACAAGGTATAGAAGCAAGGGATTCAATATTTATCACGAAAATTGTTTAAATTTGACCAACAAATGCACGCCGAGATAAAAACATAAAAAAAAAATAAAGGGGTTGCGTTTTACATAATCAATTCGATTTAAATATGTTTTTTTCTTCTCAAATTTAAGATAATTTTTTTATTTCTTACATTTAAAATTAGTCTTTTAGTGTCTCAAATTTCAAAAAATTTTATTTAGTTTTTATACTCAAATTTTATTTGAAAATTTATTAAATATTTGTCACATAAAATCTACCAATTAGTATTCATATTAGTGAAAATATCACATTAAGCATAGTTAATATTACATAATTATCTCAATATATCACTTTCAGATATATTAATAGTAACTAGAAAGATTAAAATAAAATTTTTAAAAATTATAAGATTAAAATAATAATTTTAACTTTGAGAGACTAAAAATAAATTTATCCTAAATTTAAAAGACTAAAAATATATTTAAACCTAATCAATTAATTTATTATTATTATTATTATTATATATATATATTACATTTTCTAATTTGAAAAGTAAAACTTTTGCTTGTTTAACCCTTTTAGAAGTTTTGTTGTAAAAAACAAAATAAAACTCTCTTAGAATTTCGCTGTCCAATAAAAAATTAAAAAAAAAACCCTCCTAGAATGTTTACACCTTTTTCTTCTAACGTACATTCTAAACATTTTTTTAATTAATCATTTTTATCAATATTTTTAAATTACTTTATTGACTTAAATATATTTTCATCCCCTCAAATTTAGGGTAAATCTATTTTTGGTCCCTCAAATTTAAAATTGCTGATTTTAGTCCCTATAATTTCAAAAAATCTTATTGTAGTCCTTATATTCAAATTTTGTTAAGAAATTTATAAAATATTATTACATAAAATTTACTTATTAGTGTCCTTATTAATGAAAATATCACATTAAATATGGTTGATATTGCATAACTGTCTTAATTTGTCACTTTTAAATATGTTATTGGTAACTTAAGGGAGTAAAACAAGATTTTTAAAAATTACAAAGACTAAAAACATATTTAAGCTTACTTTATTTTATCTTTATTTACATACTAAAATTATAATTATTTATTTTGTTCTAGTAAAAAAATATGCTACACATAGAGCCTTTTAATAATAAAATATTATGATATAAATTATTTATAAAAAATATTAATATAATTTAAATAATAATAAAATATTTATTTATATCAAATTTTAATATATATTTAATATATTTTATTATAAATTTTAGTTGTAGTTATATTAAATAAAAATATCTATCATATGCATTTTGCGTAGTTATATTGCAATTATGTAAATAAATATTAGGTTAAATAAAATTTTCATTCCTTAACTTTTTAAAAATTTGATTTTTAATCTCTTAATATTTTTTTGTCAACTTTTAGTCCTTCATTACTTCTTTTTTGTCGTATAAATTAGTCTTTGAAGTTAAATCTTCTTTGTTAACCGATGATGTGTGTTAATAAATCATGGAATATTGATATGCATGTAAGTGTCTAATAGATAACATATGACACATAATTTTTATATTAGTTCATGGTCAAACTGCTTTTCTTGAAAAAAAATGTTATGAAAATAACTTTTAACCACTAACTTATACATATCGTATGATTTGACATCTATTAAGTTGTCATGTGGACATTATCAGTCAAGTCAACTGTAACTTATTAGTACACATCATTATTTAATAAAGGAAACTTAATCTCAATGACCAATTTATATGTGATGAAAAATTAATGGATGCCTAAAAGTTAAAAAGAAATTGAGAAAAATTAAAAGTTGAATTCTTAAAAAGTTGAAGGACTTAAAAACCTAGTTAACATCCGAATATAATTCAAAAATTGATGATATTTTTAGAAAGGGATCTATTACAATTTCTTCAAGCCCTTTTGTCTTATAGGTTTGAAGTTAGAGGGCAAGTGTCATCCCTAATATAATCCGAGATGGGCTTGTCGAGAGGGTTTGGCCAAGAGGTTTTGGCCGAGTACTCTGAACATCAAGTTGAGAGGGTGTAATAGAGAGGTTTTGGCTTATCACCCCACCAAGCATACCTCCAATACTGAGTAACCAAACTCCCAAGGAATGCTGGATCAAATCCAACCCGAGATTCATATCTGGAATAAAACCTTATCTTTATTAGCCAAAATCACATTGATAAGTAATTACCTTATCAAATCTTGAAAATCTCAAGATCCATAAATCCATAGTAATCAAGCATGAAAAACTTAATCTTTGAGAAAAAAAAGATGCAGATTACACTTTTTGAATGCTCTACTTTTGGTTGAGCGTCTAGACAAACCTTAGACGTTCTCTAGATCGAAACAAAAATATTATTGTAATAAAATATTTCGTATTTTTTATTAACTATTTTAATACTAAACTAACTAAAGTTAGAGATAATGGACTAAAAAAATACTAAGAAAATGTTAAGGAATTAAAATGACAAAAAAAATTATAGGGATTAAAACAAGATCGAGGGATATTTGCAAGAAACTAAAAATATATTTAAGATTAAATTATATTTTTAATTTAAAATAAATAATTGATATTGCGATATAAAATTATTTTTATTTATTGATAATTTATTTAAAAAATATTAAAATTTTAATTCATAAATAAACATGATAAATAAAAAAGTGAATTAGATAAGAAGTTAAAATAATATCTATAAATGTTTCCGTTGAAGAATGGTTCCTAAAAATGCTATCATGGGAAATAGCCATTCGCGTTTAATATTGCACTATACTAGTCTCCTAACAACCAAGTAGACTATCACAAACTTTTCGTACATTTGACACTCAAGACTAGAAGGTTGTGTATGGTATCATGAATCAAGCACATAAGCTCTTCACACTTTGATTCTTGAGCCTAGAGGTTATCTACCATACTGGTCTCTAAAGGTCAAGTAGCTTAATCACTTAGACTCTTTGTGCCTTTGATACTTGAACTATTGTATACCATATCCATTTCCCATCAACCAAGAAAACTAAACATGTCCTTCGGTTGATGGTCAATTGACTTGTCAAATATGCCACATAATAAGATGCAATTGACTTCCAAACTGTTTTCGCTACAAGTAGATGGAGATAAGACATTTTACATTCATTGAATATTCTAAACTAAGACAAATCAAAGGAAGTTACATATTAGATGTCATTAGTTTAAATTATCTAAGATCGATTAATACTAAGATGCATGTTAATAAATATATATTATTAAAATGAATATTACCATCAAACATGTAAAGAAGTAACTACCCTAAAATACTAAATGATAAAATAGGTTCATAGTGAGAAAATTTCTCAAGTTTAATAAAAAAAAACTTTAGAAATGAGTGTAGAATATGATGTGCACATTAAAATAATAGTTGGATTTATTTTTACTAGTAGCATCAGTTCACTAGAAAAGAACAGGCATCATGGAAAACCGGTGTTCGTACGCACGCGTTAAAAGGAACAGTGCTCGCACGTGCTTGGCGGATTAGAATTTGGTAAAATAAATCTTGAAGTGTGCACGTGTCAACCCCAGAGGCGAAGGTTGGGATACACATGTAAAAATGTTATCCCACTCCGCTTCCCTCGCCTCGCCCCTCGCATTATATTTTCATGTGCTTTTAGCAACTTGCTACTAACCACCCTTCCTTTCTCCCCCTTTCGCAATTCCGACCCGAACCTAGCGTCGGACCCTAAACCCTCATGGGAACCGAGAGTTACACGTACATGGGACGGAGTCTGAGCCAACTCAGCATCAACGACGATTCCTCTTCCTCCGCCTTCAGCGACTGCAACAGCGACAGATCTGGCGAATTCGCCACCGCTTCATCGCAGACGCGCCGCTTCCTCATCGCCTGCGCCACCGAAAACTCCGACGACTTGATCCGCCAGCTGGTCGCCGATCTCCACTCCTCCTCCGCCGAGGATCAGAAGCAAGCCGCCATGGAAATCCGGTTACTCGCCAAGAACAAGCCGGAGAATCGCATCAAAATCGCGAAAGCCGGCGCAATAAAACCGCTGATTTCTCTCATTTCGGCGCAGGACCTTCAGCTCCAGGAATACGGCGTCACCGCGATTCTCAACCTCTCGCTCTGCGACGAGAACAAGGAGGTGATAGCCTCCGCCGGCGCGATCAAGCCGCTGGTTCGGGCGCTGAGCACGGGGAGCGCCACGGCGAAGGAGAGCGCGGCGTGCGCGCTGCTGCGGCTGTCGCAGCTGGAGGAGAACAAGGCGGCGATCGGGCGGTCCGGCGCGATTCCGGCGCTGGTGAGCCTCCTGGAGAGCGGCGGGTTCCGCGGGAAGAAGGACGCGTCGACGGCGCTCTACTCGCTCTGCACGGTGAAGGAGAACAAGGCGAGGGCGGTGAAGGCGGGGATCATGAAGGTGCTGGTGGAGCTGATGGCGGACTTCGAGGCGAACATGGTGGACAAGTCGGCGTACGTGGTGAGCGTGCTGGTGGCGGTGGCGGAGGCGAGGGCGGCGCTGGTGGAGGAGGGCGGCGTGCCGGTGCTGGTTGAGATCGTTGAGGTCGGGACGCAGAGGCAGAAGGAAATCGCGGTGGTTATTCTTTTGCAGGTGTGCGAGGACAGCGTGGCTTATCGCACCATGGTCGCTCGCGAAGGTGCCATTCCTCCTTTGGTCGCTTTGTCTCAGTCCGGCACCAATCGCGCCAAGCAAAAGGTATTATTCTATTCTCTCTTCAACGCCATTTCCTCTTCTATCGCTCACGTGCATGCCACCTCCCACTTCCCTTTCCAATCGCTTCGGACCCTATTACCTCTTCACGTATTTTTATTAATTTGCATCACTTTTTACACTAGGGAATTCAACTTAAACAATTTTAATCATTTTTTTTCACCTTCTAAGAATAATTTATCTAACAATTCTCTTCTAAATTTAGAGACCAAACCAATCAAATCATTAGTCAAAAAATTAACATAGCGGTAATGTAGTAGAGTCCTATATGTGAGGACCACACGTTTCTCTTAAATGCTAAATGTAGTAAAATTAAGTAATTAAAGTAGTAAAATAAACTTTACGAAAACAAAAATACAGGAGATAGAATTCGCAAATTTGGGAAAAGAAACAAAAAAATATACGATTAGATGAAAACTTGTTTGCATTAAATTCTATATTTTGTTTTTTTTTTTATTTATTGTAGAATTTTTGGAATAATGAAAGAAAATTATTTATTTATCCTTTAAAGGAAGTTGTAATGGGAGTGCCACGTCAGGGTCCTTGCACATAGCATCTCCACCCACCCACCACAAATTAGATTGCTTAATGTGTAATTAAATCTGTTTTAGTGAATATCGACTCATGTATTCCCATTGCATCGAATATGCCAATCTTATTGGTTGAGTTTTGTAATATTTTAGTCATGGGGCTTGTTTCAGTGCTCTCATCTTTGAACAATTGTTAAAATTTTATGAAATAATTTTTTATTGTTTGTGTAGGCTGAGAAACTAATCGAGCTTCTGCGACAACCTAGATCCGGCAACGGCGCTGTTTGAACATCAGAAATGGCAACAATCATTTACCACCTGGTATCCCCACCCCACCGCACCGTACGTGTGAGTAAAACAAAAACCACGTTAAAATTGTGAATTGGTTAAAGACAACAACATGCGTCCCTGAAGAGAGACGGAGAGGTAAAGTTTGTAAATATCTTCGTAACGGAGAAGCTTTGTAAAGTTTGTGCTATAAATGATACGAGTTTCAGTTTGAGTTTGGTTTGGTTTTTGGGTTATGCAAAATAATGCACTCCCACTCGACATCACTGCTTTTTTTTTTTTCCCCCTTAATTTAAGTTTTATTTTATTGCTGTGAATGTGAGAACTGATGATATCGCTTTTGGGCCCTTCTGCTATTTATGTAATTATTGCCATTATAAATGTGGCACTAGTTTATTTGGTTTTAAAATTAGATGATTAGCCGGATAACAAACAGAGAGTTCTAAAAAAATAAAGACTTCATCTATGCTTTCTAGCGAAAAGTGACAATGTGTTTTGTTTTCTTGTACTTGGATTAGGTGGGATGAGAGGTAGCATAAAAAGGAGAATAAATAAAATCAAAATGTATCGATAAAAGTCAGGAGATCTTTTTCAATTTTTTCAATATATTGTTTTATAAAAAAAATGATAATAAATAAAAATTAAAAATATTAAATAGAAGAAAAGCTCTTCATAATTGGAAAGTGCATGTCATAAAACTAGTACGGGCGAATGAGTGGAGATAATTTTTTCGGTGGATATTTAGTTAGAATTTTATAGTTGAAATAGAGATAATTGGAATGATAGTTTGAGGTTGCATTAATTAATTAGTAATAAAGAAATAAAGTGGGGGTGAAAAGGATGGTTTGAATAGAAGGTGTCCACATGGTTAGCGTGGAAGAAGGGAACAAAAATTGAAAAGGAAAGTGGGTTAGGAGTAAAGACTTTTGGAGCGGGGAGTCGTAAGCAGGTTTGGTTTGTATGGTTATTATAATTATTATGCAATGTTGTGTTTTGATTTTTACATAAACGAAAGGCATAAAGTAAAACAAAACTAGAATGGAATTGACACGTGTACTGCATTCCGTTAACGAGTAGCGGTTAGTCGTTCGGTCCCATCATGGATTATAGGATGGCTGTCTGGGAGTGTGGGTCCCTCTTTGACGCTGCTGAACTGGACTCCTTTTTTTTTTTTAATTTTATTTTTATTACGATCATTCACTTCTCACAGCAAGTCAATTAACAAACTTTACTGTGTTTAGTTTTGACAAGAGAAACAGCTGAGAATGAGAAAAATAAAAGGAAGAAAAAAGTAAAAACAGGCAAAAATTTGATAAAAATAACGTTATTTTATTTGAAATAAATATTTAAGAAATAGAAAAAATAATATTATAAAATTATTAGTTTGAATGAATAGAAAAAAATTATAATTAATAATAAAATTATAATATTATCCTTTCAATAAAATTATTATTTTTCGAATAAACATGTTTATTCAAATAAATTTTTTATAAAAAGTTTTATTACAATAAATAATTATTTATTCAAATAAAAAATTATTTATTTGAATGAAACACCTTGAAATTTCAATAAAATTACTTTTAAGAAGGGGTTTTATTCAAATAAATAGTTGTACGAGTGTTGATGAGAGTTATTTATGAAGTAAAATTTTTATTAGAGATTATTTGTTATTTCTTCTTATTTATATAGCAAAATTTATAGACATGAATTTTAACCTCTGAAAATTTCTCTTTTAACACATCTCTTATGAAACAAATCGTATACATTATTTCGTCCGATGAATTTCTTCGCTCTCCTTTCTATTTTGTCGGTGTTTCTTTCAAAGAAAACACAATGTTAGGTATGTTGCATAATTAGGGATGTAAAAAAGTACTACCTATAAAAATGTTATGAATAATTAAGGAAAAAATAGGCATTTTTTTTTACCTTTATATCGACAAATTCATTTATTTATAATAATTATCCATGTATATTCATAGATAAGTACAAAATATAAAATTTTCATGAATAGTTCCACTAAATAGAGTGGAAAACATGATATTACTGTTTGTTCTAATCCGTCCTATTACCATCCCGATTCATAACTACTATTGTTTTCTAATTCGTAACTTTGATTACCCAAACATTTTTTTATTATAAGATAAAATTTTATTTCTAATTAAAGATTCATATCAACATATTTATGAAATTCAAAGTTTTTATCTTATTTTTAATTTTGACTATATTATATTTTTAACCCTTTATAATATTTAATTTATAATTTTATTTGTAATTTTTAACTTTATAATTTTAGTTCTTCAATTTTATAAAATTCTCAATTTTGGTTTAACTAATAAATATTTTATTGACTATTAAATTTTTAATATTTATAATAATTTGACATTAAGTAGATAATATGATAATTAATATTTAATAATTTTGATAAGCAAAAGTATAATTTTTAACATTATTAAATATTAATTGTTACATAATTTACTCAATATTATATCATAATTAATATTATAATTTGAACAATTAACGTTGAACAATTAATGATTGGACTAAAATTGTAAAGAAATGTTTGTTTAAATAAATGAAAGGCAAAACCATTCTTATGGTTTATCTTTTTTGCTTAATTGGTTTAATTTAATATTTTTATCACTATTACATTAAACTTTTTTAACATCACACTTATACTTATTAAAATACTCTTATAGATTCAATTAATAAGTTATTGTAACATTTATTTTTTTTAAAAAAAGATTACTATAGATTATCATACACAAATTAAACTTTGACCAAATTTACTATAGGCCTGTTATTGATATATGGAAGTTACTTTTTATTTCATGTTTTATATATGTAGTGCACTTGATTAATTACACCTTATTTCATATAGTTTTTGTAATGCTTGGTAGGGATGATAATGTAAGGATTTCACAGATCACTATATTTAGTATAACACAATTATTACATAACAAAAAAACATAAAATCATCTACTAGACTAGGGTTCTCATGCAATAATCACCTGAATATTCATGCAATAGATTTATGTATAGGGTGCACATAAAATAGTTCCTTTCAATTTAACTAGAAAACATAAAGCCCCGGGTGGGGTTACATATATACCCTCTCTCTCTCTCTCTCTCTCTCTCTCTATATATATATAT